TTCTATCAGTTTTTTTTTACAAATCAACAACCCCGTGACGTCATCAGAAGCTTCGTGACGTCATCGAAACCCCGTGACGTCATCAGAAGCTTCGTGACGTCATTAGCAGGTCGGCGTCCATATACCCCATTGAGATACACACAGTCACACACACACACACACACAGTCACACACACAGTCACACACACAGTCACACACACACACACACATCAACAATGGCATCAAAACTGCCCCGAGACTCTACCTTAACCAGACAACATTAAATCAGGGGCAACAAATTATGTTTACGTAAATGAAGATAAACAGACAAACAAGTAAACGACTAATATCAAACACAAAAACTAACCAAACCTACAAAATGGCGTCTTATTTACACAAAGACTCGACCCAAACAAACAAAATGGCGTCTTATTTACACAGAGACTCGACCCAAACTGTATACCATTTTTTTTTTATGTTAATTTCCCTCTCGTAAATGAGGAGGCAAGAATGGAACACTTAAGAGGATAATTATGAACTAAGGCGGTAAATTAACAGGTAAATTAACAGGTAAATTAACAGTCAAGGGGGTGCTTAAACTACGCTGAGACTCTACCTTAACTAGATGCTTTCTCTTGGCGCTAGTTACTTTCTCTTGGCGCTAGTTACTTTCTCTTGGCGCTAGTTACTTTCTCTTGGCGCTAGTTACTTTCTCTTGGCGCTAGTTACTTTCTCTTGGCGCTAGTTACTTTCTGGCGCCAGTTACTTTCTGTCGCTAGTTACTTTCTCTTGGCGCTAGTTACTTTCTCTTGGCGCTAGTTACTTTCTCTTGGCGCTAGTTACTTTCTCTTGGCGCTAGTTACTTTCTCTTGGCGCTAGTTACTTTCTCTTGGCGCTAGTTACTTTCCCTTGGCGCTAGTTACTTTCCCTTGGCGCTAGTTAATTTCTCTTGGCGCTAGTTACTTTCTCTTGTCGCTAGTTACTTTCTCTTAGCGCTAGTTACTTTCTCTTGTCTCTAGTTACTTTCTCTTGGCGCTAGTTACTTTCTCTTGTCGCTAGTTACTTTCTCTTGGCGCTAGTTACTCTCTCTTGTCGCTAGTTACTTTCTCTTGTCGCTAGTTACTTTCTCTTGTCACTAGTTACTTTCTCTTGGCGCTAGTTAAGGTAAGAAATATTTGCTTGGAGGAAAATCATGGTGAATTAGGAGTCATGGTGTTTTATTTTACAGTGGCATTAAGGTGGAGCACACACACACACACACACACACACACACACACACACACACACACACACACACACACGAGGAATGGAAGGAGGGAAGGAGAGAGGGAGGGACGGAGTGAAGGAACTACAGGGGTTTAAAGAAGGAGTAGATGGAGGGAAGGGAGGGTAGATGCTGAAATGCGTGGGAGGGTAGGGGAGGGGAGGGGAGGGGAGGGAAGGGGAGGGGAAGGAAGGAGGAAGGGAGGGAGGGTGGGAGAGAGGGAGGTGGGAGAGGGAGGGTGGGGAGAGAGGGGAGGGAAGGAAGGATGGAAGGAAGGATGGAGGGAGGGAGGAGGGAAGGAGAGAGGGAGGGAGGGAGATAGGGAGGGAGGGAGGAAGGGAGGGAGGAGGGAGAGAAGGAGAGAGGGAGGAAGGGAAGGATGAAGGGAAGGAAGGAGGGAGGGAGGGAGGGATGGGGGAGGGAGGGAAGAGAAAGTAAGGAAACGATGAAAGCAGGAAGGATGGAAGGAAGGAAAGAAGAAACGAAGAAGAGAGAACTGGATGAATTAGAAATTATAGGAAAAAGAGAGAGAGAGAGAGAGAGAGAGGAGTTAATTTTAATGCATTCTGTCCTCTCTCTCTCTCTCTCTCTCTCTCTCTCTCTCTCGCTCTCTCTCTCTCTTCTTTATCTAACTTTCTTTAATCATTAGTCTTCCTCCTCCTCCTCCTAGTCCTTCTAAACCTACTTCTTCCTCTTATCACCATTCATTCTCCTTCCTTCTTCGCCTCCTTCACCCTCTTACCACCGTCATCACGTAAATTCTTCCCACTTTCTCCTCTTACTTTCACCACCTCTCTTTCTTTTCCTTTCTCTCTCCTTAACGTCACATTGCTTCTCCTATTATGAAGACCAACGACCTCGTAAAGCAACGCTTGATAAAGGAAGGAGAAGAGGAGGCGGCAATAGAAAATGGAGCAGAGGGAGGGAGGAAAGGAAGGAGGAAGGAATGGGAGAGAGGGAGGAAGGAGGAGGGGGTTGAAGGAGGGAAGGAGAGAGGGACGGAAGGGGAGAGGAGAGGGGAGGAGGAGGAAGGGAGGAGGGAAGGAGGAGGGAGGGAGGGAAGGGGAAGTGGAAGGAAGGAGGGCGGAGGGGAGGGAAGATAGGAAGCAACGAAAGAATATGAAGAGATGAGAGAGAAATCGGGATGTAAAAAGATAGAGAGAGAATGGAGGGATAAATAGGGAAAGAGGAAGAGGAGAAGAAGACAGGAAGAGGAGAGAGGAAGAGGAGGAGGAGAGAGGAAGAGGAGGAGGAGGAGGAGAGAGGAAGAAGAGGAGGAGGAAAGAGAGGAGGAGGAGAGGAGGAGGAGGAGGAGGAGGAGGAGGAGGAGGAGAGAGGAAGCAACAAAATAAAATCGGTAGGGGGTGAGGAAAGGGGAAACAATGAAAATGGAATTGGAAAAGGAGGAAGAGAATGACAGAAGAACCACTAAACGTACAGAGGGGAGAGTGAACAGTGATAAAGATAGTGTTGAGAAAAGGTGTTAAGAGAATAATGTGAATAAAGAAGATGGGTATAGGAATGAGAGTAATAATAATGGAAAAGGTATAGAATAGACAGGAATAAATAGGGTGGAGAAGGAAGAGCAGGAGAGAGAGAGAGAGAGAGAGAGAGAGAGAGAGAGAGAGAGAGAGAGAGAGAGAGAGAGAGAGAGAGAGAGAGAGAGAGAGAGAGAGAGCAATAATGACCATAAAACGACTGAGAAGAGAAAAACAAACAAACAAAACAATAAACCTAAACAAACACAATAACAAAAAGAGGAAGTCAGAAAACGTGATGAAAGAGAAGAAGAAAAACGGACACAAACGATCAACAAAAACCTCAATGCAAATTAATTAAGAGTAATTAGTAAACACAAATAGATGTAACCTTTACTAATTCCCTCGCTAATGACCATTGACCTCTGACCTGTGGCTAGTAGAAAAAAATACACACACACGTACATACACACAACTTTGGTCAATTTTTATTTTCCCTTTTCAATATTTTTTCAGAATAAAACAAAGTCAAACGTAAGTGTGTGTGTGTGTGTGTGTGTGTGTGTGTGTGTGTGTGTGTGTGTGTGTGTGTCGGGTGATGCACAAGAAGGGCAAAAGCCACACTATTTATCCCTGTTGGTTTAACACAGTAAAACATGCATGACCTGCCTTAGGGTGAGTGGGGTGAGAGGGGGTGAGTGATGGTGAGGCTGGGGTGGGAGGGGGAGGATGGGTGGAGGGGTGAGGGTGGGGAGGTGGGGGGGGGCAGTTGGAGCAGACAGACCACAGCCCAGGTATCTTGTAAGTCGGTGGGTATGGGAGGGCTTGGTGGGGGGGGAGGGGTCGGGGGAGGGGTTTGGTGGGGGGGGGTGGGGAGGGGAGGGAGAGGGGATTACAGTGAGGAGAAGGAGGAGGAGAGGAGGAGAAGAAAAGTGGAAGAAAGGAGGAGAAAAAAGAATATTGAAGCAGGAGAGAGTGGAAGAAAGGAGGAGGAGGAGGAATGGATAAGAGAGAGAGAGAGATGAACAGACAGATAAGTAGAGAGGAAGGGGAGACACACATTAACCACATAAATAAGGTGATGAGGGGAATAATAATCGAGACATTAATGGGTAAAATTAATAGTAGGTGAAGCCAGAGAGAGAGAGAGAGAGAGAGAGAGAGAGAGGAAATTATAGAAGCTGTAATACCTTAAGAAGATAAACAAACCAGACTAGGAAGATTATTAATGGCAGTCAGGTAAAGTTTAAGAGTGTTTCACCACCATCACCACCTCTACCACCATTACCACCATCACCACCACCACCTCTGCCACCACCACCTCTACCACCACTACCACCATCACCACCACCCCCACCACCACTATCCCCGCCATCACCACCTCTACCACCACCACTACCACCTATACCACCCCCCACCCACCACACTCCCTTTTCTAACGCACTCAATTCTCCTTTCCAGATCGCGTGTGTGCTGGGTCTCTCCTTGGACTTCGCGAGAGACAGAGAGACAGAGAGATACGGGCTGCCTCCTCGGACACAAAACTAAGAGAGAGAGAGACAGAGAGAGAGAGAGACAGAGAGAGAGAGAGACAGAGAGAGAAAGAGAGAGAGAGAGAGAGAGAGAGAGAGAGAGATGTATTATTCCTTAGGGTTGACAAGAGAGAGACAGACAGACAGACAGAAACTTAACGAAAGATAAACAAGAAACAAATCAAGGAAAAGAAAAAAGTTGAAAGATAAGAAAGTGAAAAAAAAGAAACATCCAAACATGAAAAAAAAAACTAAAACATATCAACTCAAACCAACGAGGATAAACCACGACGACAACCGACGATAAACCACGACGACAAAAAACGATAAACCACGACAAAAAATATTAATAAAATACAGAAAATAAACTCCGCCCCTTAAAAACACAACGAGAAAGTGCAAGTAAATGTATGTATGTATGTATGTATGTATGTATGTATGTATGTATGTACCGTGTATGTGTGTATGTATGTATGTATTGCCTGATGACTGAGCATTCCCCATTGCAATCAGAAAAATTGCAACGGAAGAAGAAAATATTGACTCGACACCTTCCCCCTTCCCCTCCTCTCCCCTTCCCCCTCTATCTCTCCCCTCCTCCTATCCCTCCCCTCCCCCTTCCCTCTACAGCTCCCCCATTCCCTCTAATTCTTCCCCTCCCTAAGATCCTCTACCCCTCCCACTCCCCCCAAGTTCCCTACCCCTTCCCCTTCCCCAAGAACCCTCCCCTCCCCTCTACCCCCTTCCTCAAGACCCCTCCTCCTCCCTTTATGTATGTATGTATGTATGTATGTATGTATGTAAAGAAGAGAGAACAAGAAGACGGATACATCGACAGAATACGTAGATAAACAGACAAGTGAATAGAGTAATGAGAAAGGAAATCGTGATGAAAAAATACGTCAACATAAAATAACTGTGACGACAACTTCCTTAAAATGTGATAAAACTACCAAAGAAAATAATAATAATAATAATAATAATAATAATAATAATAATAATAATAATAATAATAATAATAATAATATGGTGGTATTGTTTCTCCTCAGGGTACAGTACAGAACACGTGAACATGATATGGTATAAAGAGTGTGGCGTCCCTCAGTGATCACCTCAAGCTGTTGTCACCAAAGTTCCTCCTCACTGACCCCGTGTGTGTGTGTGTGTCCCGTGATCACTGGCTCCCACTAAAGACAGATAATAATATATGTGGTGTAAAGTGCACCGTCAGCATGACTTGATGACGTGACTTGTGCTGACGAAGGGTGTCACCATGTTAGCCAGAGACACCATCACCCGCCCGGAGAGTTAAGAGACGTCCTACACCCTCGCTCATACACCCTCCTGCCTCCTCGTGTGGTGAGGGCTGGTAGGGCAGCCCGTGGGCGTGTGGGCGGTGGCAGGCGGCATGGTGGGCGTGTACGAGGTGGGCAGGTGGGGGTGGACCGGCCGCTCGGGTGTCGTCGAGAAGAACAACAAGAGACTCAACATACACGTCATATCCGACGGTGAGTAAAACACTTCTCTTTGTCTCGCCTTATGGCCAGTCTTATCCCTATTTCTAATGTACATACAACTATATCATTATGTATGTTTCCTGTATAATGTTGGTCACCCATACTGAGCCACCCAGGTAACTACAGGTCGGCATACCCTACAGGTAGGCACTTGGTCTCCCCCGACGCACAACATCAACAGGCTGGCAGTATGATCAGAGGTACACCAGGACCGCTCGTTATCCCCACCTCCGGCTTGGTTGTATTAAGTTGGTCGCTTTGTAGCAGTTGCCCTGGCAACCCCCAGACGCCGTGTAGCTTCACCAGACGCGGTTAATGAGATAAGATCACAAGAGTCGTCAGGCTGGGACACTGTTCAAGTTACAGCTTTACGAGATGAATGAACCCGAGGCCTACCTTATACAACTGAAAATAAATAAATAAAATAAACCGAACAAAGTTACTCGGTATTGTGGTTTACCTGGAGAACACTGGAGGTAAAATTGGCTCCGAAGAATTCCCTGTTGCCAAAGGTTACGGCACCGAAGGAATTTCTGGGATTCTCTTTATTGACTCGGTGAGGTACACTGTAATGTACCTCACACACACACACACACACACACACACACACACACACACACACACACACACACACACACACACACACACACACACACACACACACACACACACACACACACATCTTAAATAAGGCCCCCAGAATAAAGTCACCATCTCAGAAGACTCCACTCTCACTAAGGTTAACGGCGCCCGAGGGTATTAAGTAATCCTATTAAGTGAAGGATACTATCAATGACAACTTAAGGATGATGGTTAAGTTAATGAAGGATTTTTGTCTTACAGGTACTCTGGCCCTTGATAGAGCGCGCGGCCTAAATGACTAAGGACTGGGACCCGTGTGTAAGGTGAGGTGACCTGAGGAGAGAGGAATGTGCAGGTGGAACAGGTCAGGAGGTGGAACAGGTCAGGAGGTGGAACAGGTCAGGTGGGAACAGGTCAGGAGGTGGAGGAGGTGGAACAGGTCAGGAGGTGGAACAGGTCAGGAGGTCAGGAGGTGGAACAGGTCAGGAGGTGGAACAGGTCAGGAGGTGGAACAGGTCAGAGGTGGAACAGGTCAGGAGGTGGAACAGGTCAGGAGGTACAGGTCAGGAGGTGGAACAGGTCAGGGAGGTGGAACAGGTCAGGAGGTGGAACAGGTCAGGAGGTGGAACAGGTCAGGAGGTGGAAGGTCAGGTCAGGAGGAGGTGGACAGGTCAGGAGGTGGAACAGGAGGTGGAACAGGTCAGGAGGGAGGTGGAACAGGTCAGGAGGTGGAACAGGTCAGGAGGTGTGGAACAGGTCAGGAGGTGGAACAGGTCAGGAGGTGGAACAGGCCAGGAGGTGGAACAGGTCAGGAGGTGGGGTCAGGAGGTGGAACAGGTCAGGAGGTGGAACAGGTCAGGAGGTGGAACAGGTCAGGTGGAACAGGTCAGGAGGTGGAGGTCAGGAGGTGGTACAGGTCAGGACAGGTCAGGTGAGGTGGAACAGGTCAGGAGGTGGAACAGGTCAGGAGGTGGAACAGGAAAGGTCAGGAGGTGGAACAGGTCAGGAGGTGGAACAGGTCAGGAGGTGGAACAGGTCTACAGGTCAGGAGGTGGAACAGGTCAGGAGGTGGGAACAGGTCAGGGAGGTGGAACAGGTCAGGTGGAGGTGGAACAGGTCAGGAGGTGGACAGGTCAGGAGGTGGAACAGGTGGTCAGGAGGTCAGGGAACAGGTGAACAGGTCAGGAGGTGGAACAGGTCAGGAGGTGGTCAGGTCAGGAGGTGGAACAGGTCAGCAGGTGGAACAGGTCAGGAGGTGGAACAGGTCAGGAGGTGGAACAGGTCAGGAGGTGGAACAGGTCAGGAGGTGGAAGGTCACTATGATGTATATTAATTTCGTCTTGGTCCTCGAGCACTTAGTTAGTTCCTGTTTCGGTCAACAACTCAGGCAGCCAGTGAACACGTGGCGTCACTCACTGAGGAATACAAGGTTACTGGATCTACCTTGTCTTCTGTAATCTCTCCCTCTCTTTTTCCCTCCATCCATCGATCCTTCCTTCCCTCTCCCTCTCTTTTTCCCTCCATCCATCGATCCTTCCTTCCCTCTCCCTCTCTTTTTCCCTCCATCCATCGATCCTTCCTTCCCTCTCCCTCTCTTTTTCCCTCCATCCATCGATCCTTCCTTCCCTCTCCCTCCCTCCTTCCCTCTCAGTCAAATAGCTACCCACTGCTTTTGTGAGGACACCCGTAAATTAACATAACAAATCATTAAAGGATCTAGTTGTTGGTCCGTCTCCCTTTCAGAGGTCAGTTGCTGGTACGGGCAGGTAGTAAAGGCTGGACAGAACTCTCTATAACATCAACAAGATTTACTCAGCGATGATGGGGTCTCGTTATAATTCCCCCCACCACCCCCCACCCCCCCCCTCCCCAGAGTGTTGTTGTTTATGTTGTTGACATGAAAGGAGGTTCTGGTTATCCCGATCTGATGATATACATACACACGATGAGGAACAGGATGGCAGTCATTGTTCAATCTACCTGCCAGGATGAAGCTTTTGTGTATTGCTTATGTGAGTTCCATATATAGACTGCTCTCTCTCTCTCTCTCTCTCTCTCTCTCTCTCTCTCTCCGTCCACAAGTCGACCTATACACAGGGGATACCAATTATACACCACATTCCTCCTCTGCCTCTTTCTTCAGAGTCTCTGGATAAGTCAGATACAATGTGGTCTTGACGTCTACTTTACCCCCGAGACGACCATGTGACTGACTGTTTAGTTACTGATGATTACTGAAATATTGTGTGATGTATGACCATGTTACTAGGTGTTAAGCCAGAGGGAGTGTCACTAACAAACACTAGGAGAGTTTGTCAGTTGGGTAGAGAGACTGAGACAGAGGACACTGGCCCCCACCACCACCTGCAGGAGGGCTGGTTATCCTAAGACAGTAGCGCCACGTGCCAGCTGGGCGTCAGGCTGGACCACCTCCTCCTCCTCTGACTTACCATAAATATCGGTGTCAAGGACACTTGGCGGGGCTCAGACCGTTCTCTAACCCTCACAGGATTCTCCGCCCTTCAAAAGACTCGAAAATCGTTAACCTGAGGGGGGAAAGGGGTGATAGAGGGAGGGGGTTATGGGGAAGGGGGAAGGGGGAGGGGTGATAGGGAGAAAGGGGGTGATTGAGGAGGGGGTTGATGGGGAAGGGGATGGAGGATGATAGGGGAAGGGGGTGATAGAGAAAGAGGGAAGGTTAATGGGGGTGGGTGATAGAAGAAAGGTGAAGGGGGGTTAATGGGGAAGGGGGTAAGATGAGGAGAGGGTGAGGAGGTGATGGGTGGTGAGAGGGGGCAGGTATCTCGAGCGCTTAATGACCGGCAAGCTACACAACATGATCCCTGGCCTAAACTATTCCCTGACGACAAGATTCTTTCAGTAATATTAACAGATCCTATTTTTGCTGCTAACCTACAAAAGTCAAACCTGTCCTGACCTTCAAAGTTAATCTTCAGGAACACACACACACACACACACACACACACACACACACACACACACACACACACACACACACACACACACACACACTTCACGATAATACACTCCCATAACCTCCCCGGACGGTCGAGCACTGTGTATGGGGCCTGATGGTAACTAACCCCCAGTCGCATCTCTAGACGTGGGGTAACTAGGTAAACATGAGAGCCTAATTATCCTTCACTCATGACGTTACTGGTCTTACGTTGCTGCCCACTCAGGTGTACCGTGACGCCTCATTACCGCCTTGATTAGCTACCTGTATGATGTCGGGGGGGTGAGGAGGATCACTGCCTGTGTTACCTGGCCACTGTGCGTAGATCCATACCTGTGGTTTGTGTACATAGCTTTACCTGTCTCTCTCTCTCCCGACCCCTCCCCACTCCAGGTGATATGTAAACACGACCACAAACAACATAAGCCTCACAAGCAAATTTCAGACCACACAGGAAATTACCCCGACAAAGAGCCTTTAACTCCTGAGGGCTCACGTGAGAGCCTTCAGTCTTATAATATGTGGTGAGTGTGAAGCGTGGGAGTCTTAGCATTTATGTGGGAGTCTTAGATCTTGTGTGGGAGTATTATTTTGTATGGAGTCTTCGCTCTTGTGTGAGACTCTATGCTTTTATGTGAGAGTCTATAGTTTTGTGTGAGAGTCTCTGGTTTTATGAAGGAGTCGATGGTTTTATGTGAGTCTATGGTTTTGTGTGAGTCTATGGTTTTGTGAGTCTAGGTTTATGTTTTATAAAGCCTCAAGAGATCCTACATCATCTCTCTCTCTCTCTCTCTCTTTAATTTAGTGGCACTGGGAACGAGAAAATAAATGTGAAAGACGTAAATACAGAGAAAATCCCAAGAACGAAAGAAGGGAGTAAGGAACGGGCAATAAACGTAAGGTGGAAGGGAGATAAAGACGAAAGAGGGAATAAGGAAAGAGGAAGAGAATAGTGAATGCGAGTTTAACGACGGGGAAGAAGATAAAATTCAGGAGACAGTAAGGAAAGGAGAGAGAATTATATAACGGAAGGGTAGAGAAAATATGATAAAATAAAAAGGAATAAAGGAGAAATTGATAAAACGATAAGAATATTTAACGAAGGAGAAAAGGAAACTGACAAGAAAACGGAAGAAACAAAAAATCACCAAAAACGGGGAGGGAAAATCTAATAAACTTCGCAAAATAACAAAACGAATAAAAACACGATAAAACGAAAGAATGAATAAGAAAAAAATGATAATAAATAATAAGAAATTAAAACGCAACGAAAGAGGAATAACCAAAGACTAATAAAATACAGAGAACAATCAAACGAAAAGGAATTAAACCAAGACTGATAAACCGGAGGAGAAAGAGAAAGTGGAAAAGACGAAAAGTGGGAAAGAGGAAATCAAACACCAAACAGAGAAGGAACTTGACATAATAACGT